GTTGGTAGTTTTGAATGAAAGATTTTGTTCTTATGAAAAAAAGCCAACGGTGGATAGTTAGGTTTGTAATTAATGCATTCTTCTACTTGGTAATATTGCTATAATAAAAGGCAATTTAATTGATAGGGGAGGAGGCAAACTTTCCCATTGTAAGAGTTTTGTAAGGGAAATGTAAAATCACATTGTAATTTCTCAAGAGCTGTAGAAAATTTCATTATTGGGTCATGTTATGTCTAATTAGGTAATCTTCTTTACCACATCATGAAATACTGAATTACATCAACAAACACACAAGACATCAACACAACCAAAGAACAATCTTTTTAAAAGCACTGTTGATACAAAAGTCCAGAGAGTTGGAACAAGTTCATCAATATGAATTTTCATTGTTAGCAACAGTTTGCAATTACTGTTTGACCATAATGGTCTAATGGAAGATTTTTTCATCTTCACGCAAATTCTTTTCTATTTTAAATTTGCAGTCATTGCATTTCTGCGAAACACAGTGTTAAAATCTACTGCCATGCAGTAAACATGCTGGCTTTGGTAGTGGACGTGCCCATCCAGAGGACGTACTTGAGGGACGGTCCAGTGAAGCTGACGCATGGCAGAGGAAAACACTATCTGACTCAGATTAGGGCTGTTACTATTATTTTGGTTCTATCCTGCTTTATGCTCCTCAGCATTGTTCAGCAAGTGGAAAACAGGAAAAACATAAGATGGGAACACAATCTCCTCCATCAGGAATGCACCTACGAAGTTCAAGAGCAAGGCTTTTTTTTTTTTTTTTTTTTTTAAAGTATTCATCCACATATGCCTCCGGAAATTCTCATGTGAAAATACCTTCATGAGAAACGATCAGAGATCTTTTCTGGCAAAATTAATGAACTGCTCATGAAAATACATCTTGTGTGATCTGTTTTTGAAAAGGATCCATCCCCACAATACATACAGTTTGTCTAGATATGCAAGCTACACTGACATAACCATGACTTCAAATTTTTATTCCTATTCATGCTAGTAAGAAGACCTGAGTGGTAATTTTTACTTGAAAATAAGACTGTATTCGGAGTTTAGCTTATATAATTTCATAATTAACTTCTAAGTAAAAGAAACCAACAAACCCAAGCGTCCCCTTTTTACTGTTCTGACGCTACTGGCTAAAAACTGACACTACTGCTAGAACACGCTGATAACGAGCCATAGATGGCTTGATTTCAGCTGGGCTGCTAAGCCGCACCATCGTTCGCACAGCTGAACGAGCGCGAGTTCAAAGCCCAAAGCCACAAAAAGGCTTTAAGTAAAAACATGAAGCAACAACATATATAAACAGCAGTCGTTTGATGTTCAACTCCTATACTTCTTTTTTTCCCCGTGTAACAACATCACTCCCCATTTTGCTATTTGGCAGTCGCTGCTCTACTCTGTTCGATCAGCCTCAAAAAAAAATAAAAATCAGTTTTTCACTACTTCGTACTATGATCGTGAAGGTTACGAAACAAACAAATGGACAAATACCTGAAAGCCTAGTGTGTTAAGTGCACTTTTACCGGGTCTTCGCTCTGAACGCTTTGAACCGAGCCAGCCACGGGGGCTACCCCGCCCGGCGGGACACAGACCCCGGCGTCTCCACGCGCGCCGGCGCCCTGCCCTGTAAAACACCCCCCCCGTCCTGCATCAGGCCGTCGCCTCCCCGCTCGGGTGCCAGCACTTTCCCAGGACGAGCGCCCCGGGCCCCCGCCCGGCGGGG